ATGGATGGATGCACATGTACAAAGCTGTGAAAAGAGACAAGCGTTTGAGCATATACATTCGGATCGATGAGTGCATGTGAGCGAATATGGGTGGAGGGTAAGCTTACGAAAGTGTACAGAAAGCATAGCTGGAAAAAGTTATTCTAAACGATTCTAATAATGTGCAATTATCAACATAGGCCATTGTGCCGAGAATGGCAAAACTATTCGATAAGCGAGTGAGAGTTCTGAAAATGCAAAAAAAGTTCAATATCCTCTAAGCGTTTGTACATACGAAAGAGTTACTAATGACCGAACAAGCAGACAGACAAACAATTACTGATGGTTGAAAAAATAATGGAATTTAGTATCAAAAAATATTTACGAGGCACTGCATTCGTCTACAGGATCAGGCCTTTAAATGAGCTACTTTAAAATATTTCATTGTGATTAAAATCTCTATTTATATCAAATAAGTAGATGAATATTTTATGTGTGTGTGTCTTAATAGGGAGACTGGTGACAACCTGACAAGGGCACTAAGCAAATATGAGAAAAATTAATATTATTAATAATTAATCTAATGACAAGGAGCCAAAGTGGCCTAATTAAATCACACAAAACTGTATTCGAAAATGGACAAAAGCGTATTCATCACCAACTGGCATGTATTCACCGTAAGCAGATCATCCTGCGGGAGACTGTCGAGGAGTGGACCCGAGTATTCTTCATACCCGGACAGTGGCCGAACCCTTTGCTGCTCCTGTCGAGAGCGCCTTGGAGACGCAAGCGGGATGTCGGTAGTTGAGGCTTCAGAACCGAGCCAAGGACTAACAGCATCCACGCCGACTCTGCATGGAATAGAACTTTCGTCCGAGAGCAAAATGTCCGATTTCTGTCCTGATTGACCAGAATTGCAAGAGAAACTGCCCACTTCATGTCTATTCTTGTGTGAATAAGAAGGAATAGAAGCAGAAGCATGCGATCCCTGCCTATTCTGATGCTGCCGACGGTGTCGCCGGTGTAGATGGCGCAGAAGACACCAAACATGTAGCACATCGGCCACCAAACTGGCGGGAGGCCTTGCGGCTGGATCTCGACGAAGACAGGCAGTCAAGAGCCAGCCGACAGGACCGGGCGCGCAGGCAGGCGCAGGAGGCAGATCGGATTCTGCATAGTCGACGCTGGAAAGACGCTGAAGTGGAGCAAGAGAAAGCCGGATTATTCCCCATTAAACGAGCCATTAAGCTGGTCGTGTTATCGGTACGACCGAGATGGACCCAATTGTCAAAGGTCCTTCATGGACTTGACATATTCCCAGACCTTTCGTGGGCATCGTGATCCGCATCGTCAGGGTCCACCAGTTCAATTATGCGATTATCAAGATCCGGTTTGGATCTAAAGCTTCTCTCTTTATAGGTTTTATTGGCGGTGGAGAGAGATTTCATACCGGTGTGTGTGTGTCTACGCATACATGCATAGTCATGTTAAAGGACAAAATTGGCCCGAGGATCAAATTAACGAGTAAATATGATGATAAATGAAACAGTCAAGAAGTCAAGATGCCTGAATGTGTCCACAAAGATCTGTTGATAGATTGAAGACTCGAAAAAGCTGTTATTGACAGACAAGGACAAGTAGAATGAAACGGGATCATCACAATTTGATCTCAATGGAAAATCGAGAAGGAGGAAAACGAGCCATTAAGCTGGTCGTGTTATCGGTACGACCGAGATGGAC